CCCCTCCCCCCCGCCCACCCATACCACACACACCATCAACGACAACCCGCCCGTCAGATCCACAATCGGCCTGCCGGGGGGCAGCTGGACGGTCGGTGGTGCGGCGCTCACTCAGGCCTCGACGTCGTCCTTCATCATGAGGACCATCCTGCGGGCCGGGCATTGGGGCGCCACTCCATTGGTTCGAGTGAACCGGTATGCAGGACACACCACACACCACACTCATCAGACACACATCCATCCATCCATGACGGCCTCTTCCCTCTGTTCTCTTCAGGCATGCCCACGGCGGTGTGCTGGACGGCCTCCTCAACCAGTCGCCCCACCAGCCGCCCCACCGATGCACCGCCGTCATGGCGGGCAGGTTGGACGATAAGGTTCCCCCTGTAGAGACTCGGATTCTGCTGCTGACGCCGTTCGACAGCCCATTCGTCGCATCGATCGTTCTCCTCACACGTGCCAACATTAACACAGGTGAGGCGTCACAGATACTCTGGTGATGGAGCCGTCCTTTGACGTGTGCTGATTCGGTGGCTGCAGTGGGTGTGTATGCCCTCACCAACGAGCCACCAGTAGGTGGTGCATCGGCTGCCTTCAAGGACCGCCGGCCCGCCACCGCCCCGCTGGTGGGCCGCCCGCTGGGCAGCACCATCGCAGACATGGTGGTCAACCAGAAAGAGGCAACTAGGCAATAAAGGTAGGTGAGTGTCGAAGTGAAATGGGTGCTCCATCTATCTCTCTGTGTTGGATGTGTATGTGTGTTGTGGTGTGTGCAGGTGGGCGAGGCGAGGTGACGCGACGCGACGCCTGGTGGGAAGGGACTGGTGAATGGGGGAGGATATGAACGACGCGGGCGTGAGGGCAGTCTGGGCATGCCCATGTGTGTGCCTCAGTTGATTGGCCTGTGAGCCCATGGTGGCTGGCATGGCGTGTGGTGTGAAGGCGAGAGGGGGACTGTAGCTGGTGCATGATGCATGGATGGATTGACACACGTCGGTCGATGGACACTTCATGTTTGACACTCAGCAAGTCTCACGGAAAACCCATGTTCTTCCCTTTCTCTCCCCAGTCAGTATTTTAATCGCCGGTTTGTGAACGAAAGTTAAGTTTGTGTCCAGACGGACAATCGACCCGACCTCACTTACTTAAGTAACTTGCACACGCAGTCAGCACCATGCCATGCGTCCAGTATTCCTCCATGTTTCACTCTCATGGTCCTTCCAACACACCCGTACATACCAAATGTCACCCACAGCAGCACATCTGTCCCACTCGTCCATCGACCCATCCACTGCCGCTTACAGTGCTCCGTCCCCCTGTGACACTCCCGCAGCGCCCCATGACCACCTTCATCTGATCTCCCATCGCCTGCTCGACCATGCCTCTCGCGAACAGCCGACTGGGCGGCTGCTGCAACAACATGCCCTGGATCAGCTGCGGCACGTCCTACAGCCGACAGAGGCCGGGGCTGTGAGCTCCTGTCCCTCCCATGGTCTCCATCCCTGTCGGCGTCGTCTCGTCTGCCCTTGTCGTCCTGCCTGCTGCTGGTGGGGCACCGCTGTGAGGGCTGTGAAGGGGCGGTGTCGGCCATGTCGACGTGGAAGGCCATGATGGTCGGGCCGAGCAGATGCCACGCCACAGTGATCAGCAGACATAGAATGACGATCAGCGCTATCAAGATCTCGATGGCAAGCACCTGAAAGATCCACCACAGACACGCACACGGCATTCATCCACCCGTGCATGGACGTGGCTGCCTGCGTGTGTGCCTTTGCTTCTGTTCTTGCTCACTCACTCACCACGCTGGGAGTGTGTGTCGTGGCCTTTGCGTCTGTATCGACGCCGTACTGCATCACATACTCGGCGATGTACTCCAGGTCATCGTCGTGGTCCGGCACCAACCGAGGCTCCTCAAACATCTCGCTTCTTGCTGCCGATTGCTTGCTCTTGTGCCCCGCCGCTGTGCCTTCGTCAACTCTTGGGCGAGAATCGCGACGTGGACGGGTTAGGGTTGAGCTCGCAATCCTGCCTCATACCAGCCTGCGCCAGACCGCTTTCTCCGTCTCTGTGCATCGCTCTCCCTCTTGGCTGAAGCAATCAGCAAGCAAGCGGCCGCGTGCATCTGTGTGTGAGTCATCGACGCCATGGCAAGTGAGGGTGAGATGGAGACGTTCGCCTTCAATGCTGACATCCAGCAGCTGATGTCGCTGATCATCAACACCTTCTACTCCAACAAGGAGATCTTCCTTCGGGAGCTCATCTCCAACAGCAGCGACGCCCTCGACAAGATCCGGTACGAGTCCATCACCGACCCGGACAAGATCAAGGAGCAGCCCAACTTCTACATCCGCATCATCCCCGACAAAAGCGCCAACACACTCACCATCGAGGACTCGGGCATCGGCATGACCAAAACCGACCTCATCAACAACCTCGGTGAGTCAGTCAAAGAGGCAGGGTGTGGGAGACACGCATGCGACGGGAGGGGGGACGGGGAGGGGGGCAAGGGTGCATGTGTGGGTGTGGGGACACGCTGGCACGGCACACGCATGGCATGCGCCCACATGCACACCTCTACGACATGTCTCTCTGCATGCCATGCCATGTGTGCGTGTGTGTGTGTGCGTGTCTCCCCTCCCTCTCAGGCACCATTGCCCGTTCTGGGACCAAGGCATTCATGGAGGCCCTGACTGCCGGCACCGGTGACATCAGCATGATCGGCCAGTTCGGTGTGGGTTTCTACTCTGCCTACCTGGTGGCCGACAAGGTGACGGTCATGTCCAAGCACAACGACGACGACCAGTACATCTGGGAGTCGTCGGCAGGCGGCTCATTCACCGTCTCCAAGGACCCTTCAGGCGACGTACCCAGGGGCACACGCATCATCCTCCACCTCAAGGAGGACCAGGTACGTAGGTGACACGACCGACCCACACACGCCACAGCGGCCGACACACGAGAGGCGTACACACGTGGGTCGTGTGTGGTCTGTCAGTCTGAGTACTTGGAGGAGCGTCGTCTGAAGGACCTGGTCAAGAAGCACAGCGAGTTCATTGGCTTCCCCATCGAGCTGTCTGTCGAGAAGACCACTGAGAAGGAGGTCGACGATGAGGAGGAAGAGGAGGAGGAGAAGAAGGTACGCCACCACCACCCCCCCCACACACCCCTACCCACCCAGAGAGCCAGTGGGATAGATACATGACGCCTTGTCTGTGTGTGTGGGTGTTGTGTGGTCGTGCGTGGCATGGCATGCAGGATGAGGATGAGGAGAAGAAGGATGAGGAGGAGAAGGACGAGGAGGAGCCCAAGATCGAGGACGAGGACGAGAAGGAAGAGAAGAAAGTCAGCCACACCCACACCGCACCCGCACCCGACCAGAACCATATGCGCTAACACCTGTGTGGTGTGGTGTGGTGGCCTGTGTCACGGTGTGTGCACGTGTAGGAGAAGAAAAAGAAGAAGGTCAAGGAGGTGACGAAGGAGTTTGAGCAGATCAACAAGAACAAGCCCATCTGGATGCGCAAGCCAGAGGACGTCACCACCGAGGAGTACGCCTCCTTCTACAAGTCCATCACAAACGACTGGGAGGAACACCTCATCGTCAAACACTTCTCAGTCGAAGGTGCGTACGCCATCACATCACATCGCCACACACACACTTGCGCCTCCCCCCCCATGTGCACGTGTGTGTGCAGGTCAGTTGGAGTTCAAGGCGTTGCTGTTCGTCCCCCGCCGCGCGCCGTTCGACCTCTTCGAGACGCGCAAGAAGCGCAACAACATCAAGCTGTACGTCAGGCGGGTCTTCATCATGGACGACTGCGAGGAGCTCATCCCAGAGTGGCTCAACTTCGTCAAGGTCAGTTCAGTCACCACACACGACACAGACAGACGGACTCATGTGGCGCACTGATGCGTGTGTGTGTGTGTGTGCAGGGTGTGGTCGATTCCGAGGATCTGCCGCTGAACATCTCTCGGGAGTCGCTGCAGCAGAACAAGATCCTGAAGGTGATCCGGAAGAACCTCGTCAAGAAGTGCCTGGAGATGTTTGCCGAGCTGACCGAGAAGAAGGACGACTACAAGAAGTTCTACGAGCAGTTCTCCAAGAACCTCAAACTCGGCATCCACGAGGACACCACCAACAGGATCAAGGTCAGCTCAGCTGCTGCGCCACATACACAACACATCCACACACGTGTCTGTGTCCATCATACCAGCCATGTATGTGTGTGTGCGTGTGTGTGGTGTGTCATCCATCGTGCGTGCAGATCGCTGAGTTGCTGCGCTTCCACACGAGCAAGAGCGGCGAGGAGCAGATCAGCTTCAAGGAGTATGTCGATCGCATGAAGGAGGGCCAGAAAGACATCTTCTACATCACCGGCGAGTCCAAGGCCGCCGTCGAGCACTCCCCCTTCCTCGAGACGCTCCGCAAGAAGGGCATCGAGGTCATCTACATGGTCGACCCCATCGACGAGTACTGCGTCCAACAACTCAAGGCAAGCTACACCTCCCAATCAGATACCCACACGCCACCGCACACACGTGTGTCTGTCTGTATGTCTGACTCTCTCTCTCTCTGTGTGGCAGGAGTTTGACGGCAAGAAGCTGCGGTGCTGCACCAAGGAGGGTTTGGACCTCGAGGACGACGAGGACGAGAAGAAGAAGTTCGAGGAGCTCAAGGAGGAGTTCGAGCCGCTCTGCAAGCTCATGAAGGAGGTCCTCCACGACAAGGTCGAGAAGGTCGTCGTCGGCCAGCGCATCTCGGACTCGCCCTGCGTCCTCGTCACCTCCGAGTTCGGATGGAGCGCAAACATGGAGAGGATCATGAAGGCACAGGTGGGTGGGCACCCACCTGACACACCTCACGACACCCACACACAGGAAGGAGGAGAATGCGCGCATCGATCGGTCTCTCTCTCTCTCTCTCTGTGTGTGTGTGTGTGTGTGATGTGTTACAGGCGCTGCGTGACAACAGCATGACGACGTATATGGTGTCGCGCAAGACGATGGAGATCAACCCCAAGCACAGCATCATGGTGGAGCTCAAGAAGAAGGCGTCGGCGGACAAGTCCGACAAGACCGTCAAGGACCTCATCTGGCTCCTCTTCGACACCTCTCTCCTCACCTCCGGCTTCTCCCTCGATGACCCCACCCAGTTCGCCGGCCGCATCCACCGCATGATCAAACTCGGACTCTCCATCGACGAGGACGAGGAGGCACCAGGTATGGATGCCAGCCAGAGAGGGGAGGGGACAGGTGCGCGTCTTCCTGCGTGCATATGTGTGTGTGTGTGTGTGTCGTGTGTGGTGTGTGTGTCAGCTGAGGAGGACCTGCCGCCACTGGAGGAGGTCGAGGGCGCCGAGGTGGAGGCATCCAAGATGGAGGAGGTCGACTAAACTCACACACATCCGCTCTATCCTCATCCACTCGCTCCCACTACCCACTAGCCTAGCCTAGTCTGTTTTGCTGCGTGTCCCTCTGTGTGTGTGAGTGTGTGTCTGTGTGTGCGTGACTTGTGTTGTGTGTGTGTGGGTGTTTTGTCCATCAATCTGTGTGATTTCCTTTTCGGTGTGTCGTGTGACGTGACATACATAAACGATCTACACACACACGCATTGCATTCACACACACATGACCTGACATGGGGGAGAGAAGTGGACCAGCCACATGGATGGATGCCGTGCTTATGTGAGTGACACGCATGGCATGGCAGAGCAGAGGAGTGGTGGGTTGGGTGCCTCAGGCGCTCAGGGTTTTGGAGCCACGGACAGGCAGACTGACTGACTGACTCTTTTGCCCATGTCAAGCTTGTGTCAAGAGACTGGCCTTGTGTCTCGTTCTGGGGCGGCCAATGGATCGTCCGTGTCGTGGATGAGCTGGCATGGATCGACACGTTGGCGGCTGCAGGCCTAGACTGGGCCAGAGCTCTGACACAGACATGGGACGGAGAATACACAGACAGACAGAGCTGGAAGGAAGGTTGAAAGAAAGGTATCTCGTGAGTCTCTCTGCGACCTGTCGGTGATGCACCCTTCGGATGATCCTCGTGCTTGTACGGGGGAGGCTGTACGGGGAGCTGTTAACCCAGCTTTCCGGACTGCCTTCACCGTGGGGGGCGAAGGAGCACCCGAAAGGCACACCGACTGTCGGCGTGCATGAACATGTGAATGAGCATGGATGGCTGGATCCTTTATCCTCTCACCGATCCAGCGACTGCCTGCCTCCCACTCTCCTTGGCCTTTTTCCGTCGTGTGTGTGTGAAGGTGCGTGTGAGCGTGACCACGTGGCGGCGTGTCGGAGGACAGCCGGCCCACTGGGAGCACTGACTGCATGGGACACTGGTGGATTGCAATTGGTGGAGTGTTCATTGAACGTGCTGCATGGCCATGATGGATGTTGTCGGGTTTAATGCGTTTTTCTTCTGAACACGTGTGTCTCGTGTGCGGTGTGAGTGTGTGTGTGGTGGGCGGACTCACGTGTGTGTATGTGTGTGGTGTGGTGTGGTGATGTGTGGACCGACCCTTCTGTAGATGCTTTTGCCATCCACACGTGAACATCTTGATACTTGCGTGCATAAGTTTGTTTATGAGACTGACCAGTCGGCACCCGATGGATTCATAAAGGATCTCGCATTGACGTCAAGATTCATACGCTCACACACACACACTTACACACACACGCTTTTGGCTGGCCTTGGCCCTCCCATCTCGTCATCGAGCTGGCGGAGACGTTCTCTGGCACCATGCGAGCACATGGCACCAGAGGCCGTCTCCGCCAGCTTGTCGAGAAGACGGCAGAACACTCACCAGTGTCTCAACGCGCGCAGACGTGTCCGTCTGCTATGCTACACACCGCCTCGTCTAAGAGTTCTCATCTCACCTCATCGCCAGCTGAGCTATGCACAGAAGATCTCGAGTGGGTCTGCACAATCAGTACTAAGGAAACGAGTGAACGAATGCACCATTATTCAGTCAGCCAGCCAAGGACAGAAGGACGAGGACGGATTCTACAGGTATCCGGATGGGTGGTGGCTCTCGCTCACAGGGGGCGACGGACCGATGTGGCTGCCCTCGCCCTCTGAGCGGTCTTGAGTTTGCGGAACAGCCGCAGGAGCCGCGTGATGACCACCACCAGCTTCTCGTACACCACTGCACACCACACCAGGCCACCCACCGCAAATGGTGCGGCCAACCACCCAACATGTGTGTCGTCATGTGTGTCGCTGTCACTTACTGAACATCAAAGCAGATGCCAGCACCGTCTGAATCAGCTTGGAGGAGATACCTATTGGACATATGTGCACAGACCACACAACCCAAGTTTTGTTTTTCAGCTTCCCCCTGCTGGCATCCATCCATCCATCCATCCCATCCATCCCTCTCGCTGCGTGCGTGTGTCCCTACCTGCATAGAGTCCCGGCAGCCCCTCCCTCCTGACGATGTCTCTAAACAACCGCACACTCGACGTCACCCTCGGCACATGGGTGGGGTGCTGCTCCTCACTCCTGTCGTTACCACCGCCCACGCCGCCCCCCTTCTCCTCCTCGCCCTCACCGCCACGCGGCTGCAACGGCGGAAGGTCCCTCTCCCTCTCCCTCTCCCTGTCGGTGTCATCGTGTTGTGTGGGGGGCCGCAGTGCTGTGCGCGACGATGACGTGGTGGTGGTTGGCTGGGTGGAGGAGGAAATGGGCCGAGAGGCTGTCGCCACGAAGCTGGAGGGCGCCCCAGTCGTCTGGAGGCGCACCTTGCATAGCTGATTTGATTGATGGGCAGGCGCGGCGGGTGAAAGGATAGAGAAAGGAGAGCAAGCAAGAGACTTTCGTGTGGGCTGGTTTGTGATGGATGTCATAATGGCGATATCGGTGTGTGCGTTGACGGCGGTACATACCTGGTATGGGTATGTGATGAGCGTGGCGACCATCTTCGCGAAGGCTCCCGTGAAGAAGTAAAACATCGCGCTATCTGCACGACGCACACACACACAGAGAGAGAGAGAGATGACGAGCCAGGCCTGATGGACCGTGGGTCCGTCTGACTTTTCTCTGGTTGAGTGTGTCCGAGGTTTTTCTTGAGGAGCTCGTAGACCATGAACTGAATGGCCGGGTTGCTCACCAACACCAACGCAGGACCGATGCCGTAAAACAACGCTGAAGGAGTGACACACACAGACACACATACACATACACATACACATGTACTGCGGCAGTGTAGTGCCGCCATTCTACGTCTGCCTACCTTGCAGGCCCTCTTCCTTCATGATCTTCTGCAGGGTCTCGCGGGCCGAGGTCTCGGCATCCTGTCACACACATAGATGGATTGGACGCATGGCGCATACAACATGATGATGGATCAGTGGCTGGCTGCAGCCGGATGACTCACTTTGCTGCGGACGGTCATCCTGGCGTTGAGAGTCCACACGGGATGCGTCAGCAGCACGTTGATCGTCCCCGCAACTGCAGCCAATGGCAGGACACAGGCGGCCAATGAATGTGTCCTGCCTGTCTGTTGGTGTTGGTGTGGCGGGTGGTGTGCGGTGCCTGCGGTGCGTACCGAATGCTGTGGCGAGGTTATGGTGTGGTTTGAATGTGCCCTTGTTGGCCTTGACAGCCATGTCCTTGAGCAGGTTGTACCAGAAGAAATAAACACTGAACCGAATGAATCAGAACACACAGACGCCCACGCAAGGATGCACCGCAGCTACGAGACAGGTTGGGCGGCTATGGGTTGGGTGGATCGTTTCAGCGCACCCCGACGAGAGCATGGATGCGACGAGGGCGGTCTTGAGTCCCTTGTAGAAGCCCTCCAGCCCTTCCCTCTCGTACATCTCCTCTATCAGCGTCAGCAGCCTCACATTCCTGCCAACGGTGGGTGGCACGCACCGAAGGAAAGGCAAACAACACACCCGCCGTGTGAATGCAATCACGCGCATCCAATCTGCCCATCTGGCTGCCCACGTGCTTACGCGTTGAGGGAGTGTTTCATCCGTATGGCCTCTAGCGGGTACAGGAGGCTCATCGCCACGGCAGATCCAACAGCACCACTGAAACAACATCGCAGTGCAGTGCGCAGCAGAGGCAATCCAGGCAATGAGTCACCGCAGGGAAGGCGAAGCGCTCTTCTGAGGTACCTGGTGCCGTGGGCGAGAACCCTTTCGCTCTCTGTGAGCGGCGCATCTTCGTCAAGGAGAACCGTCGACGCCTCCTGGAGGCGCTCCGTGGCCTTGCCGCTCTCACCCATTTTCTGCCACTGAAAGCTTAGCTCGCAGAATCGTTACAGGTAGGTATGAGTTATCCCGGCGGTGGCCACCATCCCCTTCGTCCACCCCCCAACCCCCTTTCGGAGCAGGCTGCTGCCGCCGTGCCTGCCCAACACTTGCCTGCCCTTCGGCCTCAACCACCAGCACCGATGCCGCCATACATGCCGCGTCCCAAGGCGCCTGTCGGTGACCACCCATCGGCAGCGGCGATGCGGCAGGCGGGCCATCGGGAGCTCATGGCTGACTCGGCAGCAGCCCAGGCGGCAGCAGCCAGGGCGGCCATGGCGGGACGACGGCCGCACTCCTCTGCCGATCCGCCACCGCCGCCGCCCACCATCACGGCCGAGACCATCCGTGCGCTGCTGGAGGACATGGCTCCTGGGTCTGAGATCGAGGACTCGGCGTGTGAGGTGATGGTGGCTCTGACGAATGAGTTCCTGGACCACACCATCGAGCAGGCGTGTCAGGTGGCGACACACCAGGGCAAGAAGGAGGCCAGGGGGGCCTATGCACTCACCATGGACGCACTCAGGAGCGTGCTGAGTAAGCAACTGAGCAACCAGAGGCCAGGCGATGCAGGCGTGTGGTATGGTTGCTGTGCCTTGTGTGCTCAGGTCTGAATGCCTTCACGCCACAGGCAGATGTGAAGCCCCACCAGCCACACAGGCCGTCAGCCCCACCCACTTGAAGCCGGCGCACGGACCACTGAAGAGGGATCCTGTGAATCTGTCAGGATGTGCTCGCACAGTGTGACTGACTGACTCGGATTTGCGTTTGGACGACATTCGATGCGCCTGCCTTTTGTCTGTATGATATGCGAGACCGCCAGCTGGTTGCGGCGTCATCAAGATTGTGTGTGTGATATCCCTCCCTCCGACGCTCGAGTGAGCGAATCAGTCAGTGTCTTGATTCAAACGGCAGCACCACACACACAGTGTAGGCAAGGCATGTAGGTCTTCGCATCACCCATCGTCACCATCACCATCATGACAACAGACAGGAACCACAGCTAGGTGAGTCATGGCTGATGGATGGATGGCTGGACACCGCACGCACTCACGCACCCACGCACTGAATTGAGCGAAGACAGCCACCGGAAAGCCAGACAAACACACCCACAGCCAGGGACCCTCACCTATCCTCACCCACCCGAAAAGAACACAATGAAGCACAACACGCACACATGAAGACGACATGGCATGGCATGTAGTGTGAAGTGTGCGAGATCCATATGTTTGTATGAGTGAGTAGAGTGTATGTACGAGCCACTGGGTGAGTGAATTGCCTGCCATTGAGGGTGGGGCCGAGCCAACATGACATGACAAAACTGTCCGTCGTCGAATTAGTCGCCCCCGCACCAGTTAGGCGAGCGGGGATGGATGAATGGATGGATGCATCGATGAAGCCACGCACCGATCAACCCCACACGCTCGCTCGACCACTCACTCACGCGGCCACTTGTCTGTCTTGAGAAACATCATTCAAGTGCGGCGACACGCATCGCATCGCGTGTCCCTGCAGGTCCGCAGGGACACACGCACACGTTTCCAACCGGCAGGTCGATGGACATGTAGATAGACAACCAGAGAGGCGGGCCGCTCCGCTCTCTCCCCTCTCCCACCCCAGAAATCACTGACTGACTGATGTTGATGGGTGGATGACTGAGACACATGCCATCCACGGGCTCGCCTCACTCGCCCGCTCGCTCACTGAGTGCGATGGATGAATTACTCTTGGCTGGCTCTAAAACACGCACCAATCCCACCCCACCCCTCCCCTCCCCTCCCACCCCGGCCCGGCCCGTCCCTCCTCAGTGTGGGCGAGGCGAAGAGCACTCAGAATGGACGTCCGCCAGGCATCGTCTGGAACTGATCGATCATATAGATTAGAGACAGACAGACACAGAGAAGAGACACCAGTTTCCGTCGGAAAGGCAGGCCGGCCTCTCGTGTGCAGTGCAGTGCAGTGCAATGCGTGTGTACCTGTGGCTGCATGCCCATTCCTCCCGTGGTGCCCATGGCCATGCCGGGGTTGGCTGCGGCCGCCGGCATGTTGGGCATACTCGGAGGCATCCCCGGCTGCATCGTGCCAAACCCACCAGGATTCGTCATGCCACCACCTGACACACAAACGGAGGGAAAGAGGGAGGGACGCGAACACACACACGTCTGATGCATTGCCGTGGCCGTCTGCGTGTGTGTGTGTGTGTGTGTGGTAGCTGACTGAGTGGGTTTGGGTTAGACATCATTCCTGGTGGCGCCATGAGGGCAAGCTGACCCATCCCCTGCAGCATCGGATTCACTGACAAACACCACAAACGAACACACAATCACACACACACGCACAGAGGACACACTCGGATGGTCCATTCTTGTTGCTGTGGCCTGTGGTGTGTTGTGTGTGTGTGCGGCTGACTGACTTGGCATGAAGTCCGGGACGTAGTCGTTAGGTGCGGATTTCTCCTTCTGTTCCTCCTCCTCCTTGTGCTCGATCTTCTTGTCCAGCGCATCCACCCTGTATGTGTATTCACGCACAATCTGACACACACACACAGACACACACGCGGGAACAAATCAATCAGAGCACACAACATACATAATAAGCTGGTTTTCCTCCCCATCTCGTCTGGTCTGTCTGCTCTGCAGCAAGGTAAGCAGGCACCTGGATCATGTAAGGCATGACTTGGTCCATGAACCTGTTCCGCCACGCCAGCTCGAGAGCAATGTCCGGGCGGATGAGGTCATAGCACACGTACAGACAAGACGCGAAGCAATCTCGGTCCTGGATCTCCACAAAATACCTAGTGATTGATTATAGATAGGAGGGCAGGCAGCACAGCAACCACCACACACATACACACACAGTGCAGTGCACTGCACTGCACGCCCTCCTCTGCCCGCCCAGCTGCCTCACTTGAGCAGTGATTCCGCGAGCTCCTGGTTGCCGCTGTCGCGTGCTGTCTCCATGGCATCCTGCAACGACATGGATGGATGGATGGGCAGCAGTGGGTGGGTGTGTGGGCTGCTGTGCTGTGGGTGGCGTGAGGCACCCACCTGGTATAGCCTGTCGATCTTGGAGAGCTCAATGGACTGCTTGAACCGCTTGTTCTTGCGGTAGAGGAGACACGCTATCCGCCGCATCTCCAGGAGGTCGTGCTTCTCCACCCGCTGGGCCAGCGCCAGCTGGTCGAAGTTGTCGTACTCCTCAATAGACTGCCTGCTCAACAAGTCACATGACACACACACACACACACACATGGGAATGCGTGGCTGGCTCGTCCATCCATCCATCCATTCATCCATCCGTTGATTGTGTGCATGGCGTTGTGTCACTCAGGTACCTGAGCGACTCGTGGTCCTCTCCGTCGACGTAGAGGTCGTTGAGGGCGTCGTTGACCTCCTTGATGTTGTGCTGCTGCACCTGCTTCATGTACGGGATGATCAGCGGCAGGTGACCCAACTTGCGAATCTGCATCAATCACAGTGAGTCCAACAAACATGACGCAACACAGACACGGCCGTGGTCACCCTGCTGCTATATGTGTGATGTGTGCGCACCTGCTGTACGACCCTTGCGTGGTCGACTTTGTTGGCCACTGCGGTGAGGAGGCCATTCAGCAGCAGCGGATACATCTCCAGGTAAAACGATATCGCCCTGTATGTCACACACACATTCAGATGGATGTCCTGATCCTCCTCCCTCCCTCCCTCCCTCCCTCCTTATGCTATGCGGCCGTTGTGTTCTGTTGTGCTGAAAAGACAGACCTGTAGAAGAGTTCCGAGTTGGAGACCTTCTGCATGACCGACACGAACTGGTCGTGTGTCCATGCCGACGGCGAGTGCAGAATCATCGTGTTGGCCGCCGCGTCGTACTCGTCATACGCAGTGTACAGAAACACCGCCTCAGGCCTAAATGTGTGGTGGTCAACACGTGTGTGTGTGTGTAGTGTAAGTGGTGTGGTGTGTGTGCCTACCCTACCACAGGCAGTGTCGTTCGCATCCCCTGATGATCTTCGGTATGTTCATGCGGCTGGCGTTGAGTTTGCAGAAGTCCATCAGCTTCTCGGGCTTGTACTTGGCGTAGAGGATGCCCAACTCGGTGTACAGCCCCACGTGCGCACGCTCGCCACCGATGCCAGAATCCTGCACATCATCACACAACACGACACGCAAGCAACACAGCCAATAAGGCAAGGCCAGAGCGATATATGCCATGTGTGTGTGTTGGGCAGCTCACGAGAAGTTGAATGAGTTCTTCAAAGTATCCGCCCTTCTCGTAGTGTAGGATGAGCTCCTCGAGGTGGTCTGGGTGGACGATGATGTTCATGCCGGCGATCTGTGCGCACCTGAACTCCTTGGCCGCCACGCAGGCAAAGTTGACCTCCTTCCACGTCTTGGGGTTGTTGGCCTTGCGCGCCGCCTCCACCGCCTGGCTGAACTCACCCAAATGCACGTGACACGACGCTAGCTTGGCGTTGTTAGGAATCGACTGGAACAAGATCTTCGCAGCCTGATGGGATGCATCGGATATATCGACACACAAACAGAGCGGATGTGTGTGATTGGTCGTGTGTGTGTGTGTGTTTGTGTGCGGCTGCTCTGCGTGCCTTGAAGTGTCCCTCATCGAAGAGCCTGTCGCCGACTGCCTGGACGTTGGCGGTGTTTGTGCCCGAGATGAACTCCTCCATCTCTCCGAGGTTGTCGCACTTGGCGAAGGCGTACACGAGCTCGCTGTCGATGATTTGGTCCTTGGTCTTCTGCCGCGCCATCTGCAGATACTTGACCAGGTCTTCATACGTCTCCTCGCGCTCAGCCGCCTACACACACACAAAGCCAATGCGTGGGTGCAGGGTGGGGTCGCTCTTCGTGTGTGTGTCCACGTCTGTCATGTCTGTCACCTGGATGACGTCTTTGTAGTCGCCCGCCTCCTGTGCCTTGAGGTATGAGTCGATGGCCTGAGAGACCAGGTTCTGCACCAGCTGGGCCTTGCCTAGCTTGCTCCACACCTCAGGCTCGTTCGCCCTGTGGGTGCACAATACACGCACACACAAGGCGATGCGATCGTACAGGTGACCTGTCTTGTCTTGTCTGTCTAGTGCGTGTCACTGACTGACAGACAGACCGACCTGGCAGCGAACTCGCCCGCCCTGTCGAGGCTCTCCAGGTTCATCAGCAGCGTGTCCACCGCATCGCTGTTGAGGTTGAACTGAACCACACAATGGACACACACACACACACACACACACACGAATGCAGCCAAGACAGGGAAGCGCATGTGTGTGTGTGTGTGTGTCGTCCGCAGCACAGACAGCACCTTCTTGTAGATGGTGAAGGCCTCCTCGTAGAGCTGGTACTGCTCGCCGAGGGCGATCTTGGCAATCTCCGGCCCGTCGTAGTTGTTGAGGCGGTTGATGTAGTCCATCACGCGCTTCTTGTCGGCCTTGATGGCCGTCAGAATCAACAAATTCTGCAAGTTGCGGTTGCCCGAGAAATCTATGTACATCAACCAACCACGCAAGCAGACACACACACACATGGGCAGGGCAGGATGCCCTTCCTTTGTGTGTGGTCCCCTCCCTTCGCTCGTCACCGGAGTTGTGCAGGACGATTTTCTCGAGCAGCTCGATCAGCTCCTGCGGCAGGTCGGCGCTGATGAACGCCTTGACGGTGGCAGAGACCTCGTCAGGGTTGCTGCTCTCGGGCAGGGCCGTCGCCACCACCTGGTCGATGACGTTGCGTCGGAACTCGTTGTCCACCTTAAGCACGTAGCCCCAGAGGTCCTGGCTCTGACGCTCCACCAGGTACCTCGCCTGCAGCCTGAAGAGGCCGTTCTTGTTGGTCACCTCCACGAGCTCCTCGTCGCAAGACCCCCAGGCCCGCTTGTAGGCCGTGTAGGCCAGATGGGGATCGCGGTCCTCGCAGTACTTGCCGACCACCTTGGAGTCGTAAAACGCGTTCGTCTTCAGGAACGTCTCGGGCTCCCTGCAGACACACCGACAAAGGGGTTGATGCATTCATTCCTTGTGTGTGTGTCTGTGTGTGTGTCTGTGTGTGTGTCTCCTCTGTGATGGTCCCTGACTTGTTGGTGTCGATGTAGATCTTGGCGAGGGCGTTGTGTAGGTCTGGTTCCTGGTTGCCCTCGGCCATGCGAGCCTCGAGCCACGGCAGCAGCAGCCTCAGTCGGTTGCGCTTCTCGACCTCCTCCACCAGGGGGCTGACGGGGCACGCCCCTCGGACGTTCTGCAGCAGGCCCTTGATGAAGTCCTCGCTGCAGTCCAAATCGATCAACGTCCCGATCACAGTGGGCGCCTGCCACACACACACCACACACACAGCGTGAGAAGAGCTAGTGGGGGGGAGGCGTGTGTGTGTGTGTGTGAGTGTGTTGTGTGCTGGCTGACCGACCTGTTGTGGGTTGACTTTGACGACGTAGACCTCGATGTACTTCATGAGGGAGTTCTTGTAGAGGTACTCCGCCAGCTCGCCCACAAAGTTGTGCAGGTCGCACACGTAGATCAAAGGGCGGGGGTCAGGCAGCTTCGCTTGCTGCACCACCAAACAACACAACACACACATCCAAAGACCGTCACGCACACCCACACCCACACCGAGCCCAGCCCACCTTGAGGAACTCCTTGACCCTGACAGGGTCGTATGCGTTGGATTCCCGACAGACCCTCTCGACCTCCTGCATGTGGTTGAGTTTGGCGCACGCCTCGATGTACTTGAAGTGCACGTCAGCGTCGTTGTTGAAGGCCAGGATGGCCCCCAGGAAGTAGAAGATGCCCTCCCAGCTGCCGAAGCTCTCGAAGAGCTCCACCAGCTTCAAAGCGCCGATCTGCTCCTGGTACTTGATCGCACACTGCCACACAGACAGACGGGCACAGATACAGACACAGGTGGGTGCATTGATTGCGTTGAGAGTTCTGTGTGCCAGGCCTGCCCTAGTGTGTGTGTGCAAGGGGATTGACTGTACTGACCTGCACGACGACTTGCAGGTTTTGTCTGTTGTGCCTGAGCAGCTCGTAGAGTGACTCCAGACACACCTCAGGTGGCATGCGGCCGAAGAACGTCGTCAGCCACTCGGGATTCAGGCCGTGGGTGTTCAACATCACCTGACGCACACAGATAAGTGGGTGCCACCGGTGGGTGTGGAGGTGCCCCCTGTGAGTGTGTGGAGTGGAGACAGGGCAGACCCACCCTCTTGATGTCCTGCACGTCGGTGTAGTGCTCCAGTGCCCGCTGGTACAGGCCGGCCTTCTCACACAGCTGGGCGATCGTCTGCCTGTCGTAGTGGGTGAACAGGTCCATCTGGAATATGGTCTCAGCCACCTGGGGCGCCTGCACCAACGACACACACACCACACACACCCACAGCCATTCATTGCCCACTGTCTCTGTGTGTGTTGATGTGTGGTGTGTGTCTCTTGCGTGAGTACGTGCAGGAGATTCATCTCGAGCAGTTTGGTCTGGAGGTACCCCTCCTCGGGCTTGTTGTTCTTGAGGTGGTCGAGGAGGATTGAGGTGAACTCCTGCAGCCTGTTCTGGCTCAGCATCACCTCCACCACACTGTTGATGTCGATCAGGGGCGGGTCGTTGTCCAGCAGCTGCTTGGCGAACGTCACGGCGCCCTCGGGATTCACCATCAGCATGTTGCGCAGAATGAACGAGTAGTCGGCCTGCACGCATACACAGCGACGCATGCCGTTGTGGCGTCTGTGTGCGTCTGTGTGTGTGTATGTGTGTGTGTGTGTACCGACCTGGTAGTTGACCTTCTTGGCGTAAGCGACGATCTGCTCGTATTGCCCTTGCTCGGTGAAACACTTGATGACCTTGGCAGACGCGTTCGCCCTGCACACACACACACACGTACGTCGGATGCACCTGTAGCGTAGCGAGGAGCAGCGTGTGTGGATCGTGTGGTCTGACCTGAGGTAGATCGAGAGTGCGAGTTTGCCGTCGAGCGGAGCGACGATGTCTCCGAGCTCTTCGGTGCACTCGAGCTTGTCTTCCCTCAACCAACGCTCGATGAACTCGCGACGGTTCTGACCATCCCGCCACACAGAGACGTCCACACGTCCACCTGAGCCTCCATGTCCCTGTGCGCGTCTCCTCACTGACCTGCGCGACGACCGGTCTGACGAGCTCGATCGACTCCATGGCGTTCAGCTTGCCCATCTAATCGACCACACGATGACAATGACACGCAGTCACATTAGCTATCTATGCATCCCTTCACCCGCCCCACTGGTCAGCTCACCTCAAGCAGCGCTGAGAAGTACTGCAGGATGGGCGACGACTGGCCAGGCGGCGCCTGGACGCTCTTGAACTGCTGGATAATCTGGGGGGTGCGAAGGGCGCCGGATGCGCACTGGGCCGCCACCTTGGCCGCCTCCTTGTACTCGCCGCGGGCAAACGCCTGGTTGAACTGCTGCACGAACAACTCGTCGGCACCTGCAGGCACCAAAAGAACCAACAAGGGGGTTGAGGGAGAGGACACACACGCGGAGAAATGAGAGACTGGTGCGTGCGCTGCGCTGGGCGTGGCGTCCGTGTGTGTTCATGGCCGACCCGGGCCGACCCGACCTACCTGGTATTTTGAATTTCTTGGCGAGCCCGAAGGCGATGTGTGTGGCGTTGGGCAGGTGCCTGAGGTTGGTCTGAATGTAGTTGACCAGCGTGTCGGCGTTGACCGTAGCTGTCAACACCTGCAGGTCAGTTATGCGCACAAACGAGAAGGGCCAACACGTCACGTGCATCAGTCACAGCTGTGTGTGCCCTCTGGCGGTGGTGCGGTGTGTGCCGCTGCCTGCGTACGTCTCCTTTTCTGTTGACGACGAGCACGCCCCCATTCGTGGCGTTGTAGGCGGAAATGAAGATCGTGTCATTCGAGATGCGGTTCCTGCAGCCCACACAAACACACACACAACACGTCAACACGACGCGCACTCAGCTATGAGCAGGATCAGTCAGCTGTCTGTCTGTCTGTCTGTCTCGCTGGGCTGACCTGAAGAGCATGGCCCCCGAGTAGATGTCGAACATGAAGATGTAGCCGGCCTTAGTGATCAGGAACAACACACCGTACTTGTCGCTCATCTGCACAAGTCACACCACATCACACCATGACGTCAGCTTCCCACCATGCTCGGTGAGCGAGTCGAGTCTTACGTGCATGGAAACGGCGAAGTCGTTTGGGGCCTCGGGGGGGTAGGTGACCTCCGACGTGACTTTGAAAGGCGCGGCGTGGCCGTCCAATTTCTGCTTGTAGATGTCCATGATGTGCAGCCTCGTCTGCGTCTGACCCTCCTTGCGCTCCACAAAGGCGAATAGCTGACGGTCGGCCTGCCCATCCTCCAACTGTGGGACAAACCAATGATCCACTCATTCCACTCCTTCTTTCGCTTGTTCGCTCATTTGCTTGCCTTCATCATAGCGAAGTTGCCGGCATGTCCCTCGAGGACCTGCTGCTGCTTCTTCTCCACAGAATACAGCACCATGTGACCGTCGATCGTCTTGCCCTGGTCCTGAACACACACACACACACACGGCAATGCTGCTCACATGCAGCTGGGGTGGGCTGGCTGGCTGCCTTGTGGTGCGCTCTGTCTGGAGCGAGGGAGGGAGGGAGTGACCTGAGTGGAGATGCCCGTGAGCAGGCACCACTTCTGCTGTGAGTCGACGGCATAGTTGATGATCTGCGTGTTGGACTCGGCCAGCTTGCCGCTACGATCAAAGATCTTCGCCGGCGTAGAGTTGGCTGCACACACACCACACCATGGACACGCGCAAGTGATATGGATTGCCTTGCCATGGTCTGTCTGTCTGTGCCTGGCCTGTCTGTTATGTGTGTGTCGGTTTGACCTTCAAGTGTCCAGTGGTAGATGGATTTGTCGGATACGAGTGCGAGTGCCCTGTCGGTGATCCACTTCCAGAAGACAATGCTCTCGCCGAACTGGTGCACCCCCAGCTTCTCCTTGGTGTCCAGGTTGAACACCTGGATGAAGTGACCCGCCTGGCCCTCAGTCTTACCTGCATGAAACACACACACATACACAGATGGAGAGCCCGCATGTGTCAGTGGACTGACTGTATGCCAGCCAACCAACCTTTGAGTGCGATGATGTTGTCTTTGGGGTTCATGAGTGAGGCCTCGGCCTTCATGGGTTTGCGGTTGATGGAGTTGTTGGCGTGCATGTCGATGACCGCCACTTGGCTGCTGCCGTCCTGCGCCTGGTCCTTGACACAGATGAACCGGTCGCTCTCCATCGTCAGCAAACCGAACCGAAACCCATTCGGATTCACACCCATGTCCGCCAACTGACCAACACAATACAACGCAACACAACACAATCACACACAAACTTTACCTGTGTGTCGGGCGCCGCCTGGTTAAATGTGTGTTTGTGTGGCGGTTACGTTCATGACGGGCGTGAGTGTGACGGGCACCCCTGCCATGGTGGATCTGCACACACACACACACCGCGGCACACACAACACAGATGCAGCAAAGCAACGAACGGCCTTGGCCAAAAGGGCAGCCGTCAGCGTCACTCGGTGCAGATCACTCAAGCGAGTCGCGACTGAGCGCACCTGGCTGTGTCTGTTTTCCAATGTGCCTGATCTACCTCGGCTCTCGTGTGCTGCGCTCACCGGCACGTCAGGAAAACGCCCTGGTGGTCGCCTGTGTGGGAGAGTGTCTCCGCACAAGTTGTGCCTCACTCAAGGAGGCCGCTCAGAATCCAGCTCGCAATCGAACAAACCGATGCTTGCACCAGGCCACGATGCAGCACACAAGGGCTGAAGCGGTGCAAAGCCTGATGTCAACTGCGAGCTCCAGCTGCAGATCTGCCTCAAAGCTCGCAATTTGAAACAAGGGCCCAGGCAGGAAGCGAGGCGGCTGTGGCAGCGAGAGGATGAGCAGGCAAGCGACAGACTGCTGGGCTGTTCGTTTATGGCAGATCTTGCGAGTGGCACTGATGAGCCTTCTGGGCGGGCACTTGTGGACGCCTGATGCGTTGGCGAGGGCGACAGCGAGGACTACTGCTGCCTTCGTTAATAAGCCTTTCTCACACCCTGGCTCTTCACGGCAGCCACCAAGATGGAGAACACGGAGGAAGCTCAGTGGGCTGAGGCTGCAGCAGGAGGGCTGCGATGCAGGTGTTGCTGCTCTGAGCCGGCGGAGGCTTCACGACATGCGGCTGCTCGCATCGCTGTCGACCTTATGTGTTGGTTCGAGGGCCTTGGCTGAACCTGGTGGCGATGGATGGGAGGAGGTTGAGTCGTCGAGGACGCGCTTCAGGTTCCGCGTGCCGCCCGGCTTCAAACCAGCATCAAAGCTGCTCAAGGTAGGGAGGGAGGGAAACGAAGGAAGGAGCAACCTTGGGCGGGCATTGGCCATCCTCGTCGATTGATTTGACTGTGTGCAGACTCATGAAGGTAACACACCGATGATTAAGTGCAGGAGGGGATGAGAGGGGGCTGTCAGCTGAGCCTGCCATGCGGCACTGCGCGGTTGTCCTTGGCTGCGCTATATGGTTGCTTCAGAGGAGATCAACTACAAGAGCCCTGAGATCAAGGGCTACACCGTGGGAGTCGCGGTGAGTGAAGTGAGCACACGATGATCACCTGTGTTTGCCATCCGTCGCCCTTGCTTTCTGTTGCTGCAGGTGGATCCCGTCAAGATTGACAGCCTTGCTGCCTTCGGCACTCCTGACTTCGTTGGCCAACGGATCGTTGACGTACGTCAAATACGCTTCGCATAACAGGGGGCGCAAGCTTGATGAAGCCATCTGCAGATGTCTGTCTGCTTGCACTGCTCTGTAGGTGGAGAAGAAGAAAGATGGTGTGATCGACGTCCAGCTGCTGAAGGCGGAAAGGTACACGAATGGACGGACACCCATGTGACCACACAGCAGAGGGGTGACCTATATGTCAGTGTGCTGTGGTGTGCTGTGCTGTGCTGTGTGTTGTCGGGATGCAGTCTTGAGAGTGGTGGTCAGGTGTTCTACGAGGTTGAGTATACGAGCGACACAACCCGGGGGTTCAACCACTTCATCACACGAGTCATCGTCGTCAACCAGTCAGACACACACATACGCACGCACCATTCCATTCGATGGCAAAGGAACACATGACGAGTCTGTCTGGTGTGTGTGTGTGTGTGTGTGTGTGTCATGCAGGCGGCTGTTTGCCTTCACTGCACAGTCCAAACAGAAGGACTTCGACAAAGTGAGTGTGCCGTGCCAGCAACCGATCTCATTGGCCCGCCAATCCTGTCCATCTGTCTGTCTGTGCGTGTTGTGTGCGTGATTGTCAGGTTCGCGATCAGATGAAGGCCATCGTGTCGACCTTTGTGGTGCCACCGGCACAGGAGATCTCCTAGCTGCCTGCCTGGCTAGATGACGAGGGTGGAATGGCTGCTGCCTGCTTGGCCAGTGAATGGGCGAGACGCTCAGTTGGCCGCTTCGCCAGCCGCGATGTCAGTGAGCATGGAGGCAGGTACCTACCCCTTTGCCTCACTGAAGCTGAGCCTGGTGAAGCTCTCTTGAGTGTCTGACTGTCTGTCTGTCTGCCTGTCTGACTGTCTGTCTGTCTGCCTGTCTGACTGTCTGTCTGCCTGTCTGACTGTCTGTCTGTCTGCCTGTCTGACTGTCTGTCTGTCTGCCTGTCTGCTGAGTGACTTGTGGACCTGTCTATGTGTGTTGTGGATAATACTGTGCCATCCAGGCGCGTGTCCATTTCCGTTGGCTTCCCATGCGATGACGAAATTGACGCTGGGGGGGAGAGGGGGGATGAAGTCCATTCACTCACTCTTTCACCGCAGGGAGCCCTCATAAGCAGACAGACAGGGAATTGCGCTAGCTGCCACCCGCCCCGCCCACCACCCGACAAATGCAGGCACAGTATTCCATGCATAGCACTCTCTGTCCTCAAGCCATCGCCACCCGCGCGTTTTTCCGCGCGAGCACCGAAGAGGCGTAGGTGAACTTATCGCCGACTGTTGCGGGCCCCACCTTGCTGAGCATCTCGTCCATTTCCTTCTTCCTCTGAGACTCATAGTAGAATGGGGGCATATACTTGGCCTGGTCCCGCCACCGACGCGTTCTGACGTGCTCGAAGTAGGCGCGAGAGGTCATGTGGGTGTAGGTGGACCCGTGGACATTCTCAGCATATCGGGCGGGGATGAAGCCCGTGTAGCCCGGAATTGGCTTCGTCATGTGGTCGCGGAGCTGCATGCGAACCTTCTTCTCGCCACTCGTTGTCGGGGGGCGCACTGCAGTGGACACACAACAGCGTGCCTCCGTGTTGATGAGCACAATCAGCTGGCTTACCGTCCAGACTTTCCCGCATCCAGCCGTCGTCACACTGATCTGAGGGACAGGGAAACCGAAACCGAGACACCTCGTGCACGACGTAGACATCAATCGTGTCTCCGTGTCTCTGTCTCTCCTCGTACCAAATGCAAAAGGTCGGTGTGTGCGGCGCGGCACCGCAGTCCTTGGCCTGTAGCGGAAGTCGGCTGCCTGCTCGTTGGCCTTCTTGTACCGAACACCTGCAGGTCGATCGATCGACACGCATACATACATACCGGTAGGTGACCAAGAAGTGCATTGCTGCTCTGTCGCTGACTGACCGCAGATGGGTTCGCTCTCTTTGCCGGGCACATGACCAGTGAAGCCTGCATGGATTGGATTGGATTACATTACACACACGGACAGGGAGACCTCACGCCACTGGCTGCCTGCCCGAAGGAAAGATTCATGTGTGGATGCGCTGTGGTTGGTTACCAGGTATTGTTGGCACGGTGTAGTTCTGTTTCACCCAAGTGCGGGTGCCCATCGTGTGAACACTCGCATACGGATCCACGGGGTCCTTCCGCAGCACTGTCACACGCAGGCAGACAGGCAGCAGGCAATGCGCGGCATTACCTACCATCCATCCCTCCATGCATCCCATCCTTTCTTGGTATGTACCTCCTGTCTGCGTGCGCAGATTCTGGTGATACTCCGCCCCGGTCAACGGCGGGTGCCACACGAGAGGCCGCTGCCAACCACTCAAAGGGAGAGACGCCGACTTGTCAGCAACTGCAACAACAGCAGCCCCAGTCCCCTGCGGGACGCCCCCCTTGTCGTCCTTCGCCTGACGGGCCGAGACACCGCCAGCGGCTTCAGCCACTGCATCGACCTTCTGATACCGCATGTTTGCGATAGCGTCCGTTGTCTGAGGCCGCATGTCTGCAGTGTGGTGGAACTTCATGTAGTCATTCCGAGGGATGCTGTAGTCGCATGGAGGCTTGACGTACACCGAGTTCGCAAGGAGCGCCTGCTGGCGCGTGTGGGGGTCCCTTGAAACGAGGCCGGCGTTCGTCTTTGGTCCATGATAGTATCGGGAGGGCAGCCCTCTGGAGGTCCGGTAGGCCTCAGCATAGCGTTCACCAGCAAACGACCGGGGAAAGGGAAGCGCTGCAGCAACGCATCATGATGTCAATGAGGTGTTGGGCGTTGTGTGCCTCTCTCCCTCCCTCCCTCCCTCCCTCCTTTCCGCTGTTGTTACCTGCTGTTGGTTTCGGTGGGTGCGGGGCCACGGAAGGGCCCTCCTCTTGAGCCATTGCAGCGGCGCGGTCGTTTGCAGGGTGGGGGCAACGAGCGGGCTGCGAGCTGAATGCCGTCTCAACTTGAAGAGGCTTTCCTCCTTCTTGCTCGGAATGCTGTACTCCACTTGCTGTGCCAGTGGTACCTGTGCACGTGCCCCATGCGAGCGGTGCTTGTTGTTTGCCGTGGAGGAGGAGCATCGAATCACAAGGCATCGTGTGAGGGGCTTGTGGAATCTGTCACACTTCCAGCCTTGACTGACGAGGCCTGGGTGGGGCCAAGCAGCCGATGATAAGTGAGACATGATAAATGGATGGATGGGCTGGCTGGCCACGATGCGAGAAGCTGAAATGGAGTCTCGTCAATTCTGCATCCCTTCGCTTGCTTGATACGAACTGAGGCTTAGACGAACTTCGTCGCCCGTTTCATGCATCTCCTTAACACACGTCTCGTCAATTGTCATTCCAGCAAGTCGTTAGTGTCTATGGAGAAAGTATGTACCCTCATGACTAACGAATGTCCAAACAGTCCCTTACTGCTGACAATCATAGACACACACGCCCATCGCTTACACAAAAGCCAGCTCTGCTCTCAGCGAGAAGTGTGATGGACACTCAACATTCGGCGCCCCGACGTATTGCCAAATCGAAGAGGCTGCCACAGAGACATCAACACGTTCGTTGCACCAGGTGCGATACACCCCCATGATGTCACTTCGTTGACCTGGGGGCATGCCCAAACAGCTGATCGGCCGCAGCAAGTCAGACACCCAAATGTAGTCTAGACAGTCGGCGAAGGACGGCCCCTGAAGCGATACGCACACATGCACACACACACACACACAGGGAGGGAGTCTCACGCCATCCATGCAATGCATGTTCCCTGCCGTACCACGTGGTTGGTAAAGGTCGGCTCTCTGCCCATGATGTGTGCGTAGACCGACGTGAGGCCAATGCTGTGCGACGGCTGCATCTTGTCGGCCACCTCCTCACCGCCCATCTTGGCCTTGCGGATCAGCAAGTCGAACAGAGGCGTTCTCTTCAGCACATGGGTACTGTCGCCCTGCAAGTCGATCTTGCCCCGGGACAGGATCGAATACCTGAACACACAAAATACAAACGACATTGCGAGAGACAGGCGGCCGGCCATCTCGTCTCGTGTGCGTACCCTAGGTTGGTCCGCGACCCTATGTGCGGCACTATGGCGAAGTGACCCACGAAGCAGACGGGCGTCTCCTTCTGCAGATCGGCCCCCCACTGTGCCCCCAACTCGGCAATCGCCTCAATCATCTCGGAGATCTGGAGACACTGCCTGTCGGGCCGCAGCCAGAAATAGTGAATGTGCACGTTGGCGAACAGCAGCAACCGCCCTGACGTCCGGCACCTGAGCAGCAGCACCTGCCCGACGTTACCTCCTGGCAGTGCGAGGCCGTCAATATCCGCCTCGGTAACACGACTGCCGGCCATCCCCCTCACCGCTTTCTTGACCCGCTCGTCTAGCTTCACCGTGGTCTTGTGCTCAACGGTGAAGCGGTCTGATCTCACAGCCGTCAGCAGGCCCTCCGGGAACTGCGCGCCCTTGCCAAGCGTCTTGGAATCGAAGAACAGCTCGCCGTATCCCTGCACACACACACACACACACACAAACACACAGCAATGAACGTCGAGTGGGCGGTGCGGCGGCTTCAGTTACTATCTCATTGAGTTCAGACCGGAGGTGCTGGTCTAACACCTCTCGTTGAGTCTCTTGGAAGCCGACCACATCTGCCCCAAGCGACTTGACCTCTATTTGCACAGGCAACAATGCCAGCCATCCCGCAGACAACCACAAGAAGGTCCATTCCCTCATCCATCCATTCGCTCGTTCTGCCCACGTGCAGTACTTACCTGCCACCACTCGCTCGAATCTCCTCTCTGGGCTTATCGCTTTCCTCGAACAATACGGAAAGTCCACACACTTGACGTAGCACGGAGCCAGGATGCTGACCAGGCCACACACGCATGCATATGATTCTCGTGTGTGTGTGCTTCCCTTCCCTCCCCGACTTGTATGAGGCGCACACAAACGTGCACGTGGGGTTGTCTTTCTCTGCCGCAGCAGGTGCATCTCGGGAACTGATGGTTGTTCTGCAGTTGAGATGGGAAGTGAGGCCGTCTCTGGCATCGCCGAAGGCATCGCGCCGGCAGCAAGCGCGGATCACCAACTTAATCAGCGGCTGAAGGACGGTCAACAGCAGGGTGAGCAACAAGCCCCAAATGTGCAGCAACAAGCCCAAGAATGCATCCAGAGCATTCATTGTAAGGGCTTCAATCAAACAACACGCCGACTCACGGTCGCGGGATCCCGAAGAGGGGGAGAGAGGGGAGAGAATTTCTGCCACCCGCGAGGAATTGCTTGCGAGCTTGGAAGGAAGCGTCGTTGACGTCCACTGCTGGCGCATCCCCAAAGAGCCAACGTAAAGAAGGAAGTCCACCATCTTGAAGATCAGTGCAGGTGCTGCAGATGAAGACCTTCCTGGACAGAGCCGTGACTGCCGCTAAGAGCGTCAAAGAGAGGGTGGAGCGGGAGTTTGATGACGCTATCAAAGATGGTGCAGAGAAACCGTCGGGGAGCCGCTCAGCAGCCCTCGCCAAACAACACACACACCAGCAGCAGTCGCCCTCGCCTCTACGCCAGGCCCCTGCACAGCTCGAGTCGGCCAAGGAGGTCGGCAAGCACCTCTGGAAGGGCGTCGGGACCTTCCTGAGCTCACAGTTCAACGAGCCTGGTGCTGACATGGGCGACGGACCTGACGCCTTTATTGGTGACCCGGGCGAGATGAGCGGCTTCATGCATCTCGGCAGACAGGAGGCGCCGAAACCCCCGCCACCCAAGCCGCCACCGACCGACGAGGGCCCCCCCGCTCAGGCGAGCATGGCTATGCCATCGATGCCGCCCCATCCGCTGATGCCCCGCCCACCGGCCGCTTCTCATCAGTCAAATGGCGTGCCCAAGCTGCCCCGCCCACCTGCCATGAGCCAAGGCCACGCGGCTCACGGGACCCACAGCGCGGAGAGGCCGACGGACGGCCAGACAGGCAAAAACGTTAGTCCTGTGCGGGCGGAGTTGATCAAGCCGTCTGCCTCTGCGGTCACAAAGCCTGCTCCTGCGCCTCCTGCTGCTGCTGCTGCTGCTGGGTCGGCCAAGGTTTCGTCACTCATCGACATCGATCTGGACGAAACACCACAAACCAAGGTACGAGAGGAAGGGCCAACGACGTGAACACGCCATGGACTGTGATTGTGTGGTTGTCTGCTCTTCTGCACTGCAGGTTGGTGACAGTCGTCCACCAGTCAAGAGTTCTCTCGGCGCCCTTCTTGAAGAGCCCTCCCCGTCGGCCTTTGGTGCAGTGGGCGGGTGGGACACTGAAGACCTCTTTGCGCCAAAGGACCCGACACCCACAGCAGCGCAGCCGCCCCAGCCACCACCACCACCACCAGTGACGTCTTCCCCTAGCTCGTCGTCGTCTCCCGTGACGCTCCGCACGGCTGTGTCGCATCCACTGGGCGGGCCCTCCCTCGACGTGCCGCAATCCGATGATGTCGCGAAGCAAGATGAGAAGATCGACGATGTCCCTGTGACGGAGGTGCCGACGGCGAGTGGTCCACAGGAAGGAGACAAAGTCGCTGAGGATGCGCCGCTGCTGGATCTGTACGCCACCGAGGAGGAGCCAAAAGTCGTGGAAGAGGCGGGCGCTGGCGACTCCCCCACGCTTGCTGCGGATGACGATGAGGGAGGTCTGGTTGGTGCTGGTCGAGAGGCCATGCTGATGGCTGCAGAGGACACGCCGCCCCAAGTACCCTTTCTCAGCGACCAAGGGCCCGAGGACGATCAACACGACGAGCCGACAGCCGAGTTACCAGCCTCCCCGCCGTCCGACGACATCGCACAAGACACACAAGCCCTGATCAAAGCATCCGACGAGCCCACCGAGGCCTCACCACCCCCCTGGTCTCCTCCTCCCACCCAAGCACCCGAACCCCAAGCCCCGATGGAAGCCACTGCTGTGAGTCAGGGGGACGGCAGAGAAGAGGGAGAGGGGCATGAGGCTGTTGAGGAGGACAAGCTCGAGGGGCAGGAGCTGGCTGAGCTCCGTGAGTGTCTGCGAGCGCGTGATGATCGCATCCAGCGACTGGAATCTGAGCTGCGGCAGACGGAGGAGACCCTGAGGGAGAGGGAGAAACAGCTGGAGAAGAAGGTGAGTGGATGTGTGGGCTGACTGGCTGCGGCAGCATCGATGCAGCAATGTTTGTGTGTTTGTGTGGTCAGGCGGTTCAGTTGTCAGAGGTGCTGGATGGTGCATCGCAGACCGACAGCTACATTAGAAGGGTCCAAGAACTTGAGGACCAGGTGAGCAGCACACAGGCCAAAGACGCCCTCCCCAATGCCCGGCCATCCTCCTCTGTCACTCCCTTGTGCAGGTGTCGTCACTTGAGGCGACCAAGGCGACCCATCTGAGCGACATGGAGAAACTCACTAGCGAAAACGACGCACTCAAGGTCAGAACACGCCACAACAAATGCACACACGCACACACGCAGAACAAACCAAAGTGCCGTGTGAATCGGTTCAATCAGGCCGAGTTGGCGTCTGCATCTGAGAACCACGAGGGTGCGCTGCAGGAGGGCCACCGCATGTCCAAGGAGCTGGGCGAGACACAAGCCAGATACAGGAAGGCCAAGAAAGACCTGGATGTAAGCGACATGGTTGGATGGATGGATGACACGGCCGATGTGCGTGTGTATGCAGCAAACACCGTCATGTGCACTGTGTATTGCGTATATATTGCTTTGCTTCAGGCGGCCGATAGGCGAGCCGAGCAGCTGACGGGTCAGGTGTCGGGGCTGCAGAAGAGGGTCGACACACTGCAGCAGGAAGCCGCAGATAAGACCGCACTCGAGACAAAGGTCAGCCACTTGCAAAGGCAGCCACATCCTGTTTGGATGGATATATGCAGCCGAAGAGGCAGACGCAGACTTACGTGTGCGCGAATGTGTGCTTTTGCAGTTGGCTGAGTTGGAGTCCGATGCGCAGAAGTCCCAGGGCCAGCTCGAAGCCGCCAAACGAGACGCCGCGGACGCCAAGCAGAAACTCACCGACCTCACCAAGAGATACAAGTACACAAGATGATAGGAAGCGAGCAAAAGGTATGTGGAGTCATCATTTGCCGTCCTTGTGCCCCACCAGGGAGGCGAGTGCGGCCACACAGGGCTTCAACCAGACGAAGGACGCGCTGGAGACGCTTCAGCGTGAGAAGGTGGAGCTGCTCGAGGTCAATCAGGAGCTGCAGGAACGTATACAGGTATGGGCGCACACACCACACCCATGGCAGCACCCATTGCTGCGTTTGCAGGATGTCCACGCGCAAATGAGTACCCTGGAGCGGAGTCACGAGGAGACCGTCAAGAACCTCAGAGCCGAGGCGGCTCACTACGCAGCCCACCTGGAGGTGGCACAGGTCTGCATGCTCACACCACAGCCAATACAGCACGAGAGCGGACGGTTTGCATGTGGTGTGTTTTCTGGTTGGTCAGGCCGATTTCGCCAAGGCGACAGCGCCCTTCGTCGCACGGGTCACCGAGGTTGAGGAACGGCTCAAAAACGAACGGTAGGTACATCGACAGCAAAGCTATGGCAATGTGATGGTGATGTCGTCAACCACTGTTTGCTGCTGCTGTCCATTCGCTGTGTGCAGTGAGCGTCTGCACAGTCAGCTGAGCAGCCGTGACGTGGAGCTGCAGGAGGTCAAGCAGAAGCTCAGCGAGGCCTCACTCAGGCTGCAGCAGACAGACGCAGCCCTCACACAACTCAAGATGGACGCCAAGGACAAGGACGACGAGCGGCGTGAGGCTCAGAGGGACGCCAGAAGTGCACGCGCTGAGCTGGAGAGCACGAAAGAGGAGATGGCAAGACTGCAGACGGAGGTCGGGCACACAGCCAGAGAGAGAGGAAGGCTTGGATACGGACTGCAACTCATGCATTGTGTCTTGTTTTGTGTCGTTTCGGTGCGCTGTTCAGATGTCGCAGCTGCGGCGGTCGGTTGACACCAAGCAGGGTGAGGTTGATGCAGCCAAGGAAGCCCACCAACAGGAGGCCAAGAAGCTCAGAAAACAGCTGGACGATGCCGCAGCAACTCTCAAGGTACAACAGGACACACCACACATATAGCGCTATCCATTCACCTGTTGGCCAACATGCAGATGGAATCGGAGCGGAGTGAGGCGCTGAGCAAGCAGCTGGCCCACCTGCGGTCGACTTTGTCGCAGCCGCCCACCCCCACCTCCCCCCAGCCCTCGCCATTCGACTCACCGCCAGGCGGACGGCCCGAAAGGGGCATGACCAGTGACTCGCTGGGCGACCTGGGCTCACCCAGGTCGTCCGGTCCTCTGGCATCACTCGGCACAGGGCCGCTACCCCACCCAACGGAGCTGTTCAACGGTCAGTTGGAGCACCACGTGTCGTTAGCTCCCAGCCGGCCAGCATTTGTGTGTGTGTCTTGGTTGTGTGTATGTCTGCAGGCACAGAGGAGTCCCGGCAGCTGCTTCGTTTGCGTGCCGATTTGCGGCTGGCGCAGGAGCAGAAGGAAGAGTTCGAGAAGGCCTGTGTGAGGCTGGCACACGAAACTGACCAACTCAAGTAGGCACAACTGACACAAAAGCATCCATGAAGCGGCAACAGTTGATGTGTTTGTGTGTGTGTGTGTGTGTGTGTCTGCCGCAGGCACAAGTTGAGCGATTACGAGGAGCTAAAGGGCGAGCTCAGCGGACTGCAACAAAAGTGAGCTGGCCATGACAAATCACACACACACACATGGCCTCCTTTCTGTCGCATTCGTGTCAGGTTCGAGGGCGCCCTTCAGTGCATCGGGGAGCTGACAGAGAGCCTGGACGAGCAGCGTGATGTTGTGGAGATGTATCGCAAGCAAGTCAATCAGTATTTTGCAACCAAGGATGGGGCGGGCACAGGAGACCCAGCGACCGCCAAGTGAGATACAGATGGATGGATGGATGGATGGACGGATGGGGCGCCGAGACGGCCAGCCAGCCAGGCCAGTGAGGGCGTCTGAGACGTAGCAATTAATTCATGAGAAAGGGCATGTGCATGTCATTGGGACGTTGGCCTGTGTGTGTAGTGTCGCTTTGTTTGTCCAGCCAGCAGCTTTGGTCGGTGTGCTGTCTGACCGAGGAATAAGTAGGTGCGTGTGTAGGCGACTCTATCTGTGATGGACCGCTTCTGCGACGTGCGCATATCCTCACTCACTCCACACGCGCATTCGTGAGAACAGGATTTGCGCACACACTCACGCAGACATCTGTCTGTCTGTCTACAAACATGTCACGGATGAGGCCATTCCCATGCACCAAGCAAATCATGCGTGGGGTAGTTACACCGTCCCCGCCACCATGGTCACCAGACAGACAAAGATGGGCATCATATGACGCGGCCTCGCCGCGATGGGGCCAAGGACATGACGAACTTTAGCGGCCGTCAGGACGAACCGCTGCGGGAGCCACTCCTGCTGCGGGAGCTGGCCCAGCCGGGCCGATTGAGCCGCCACATGACGACTCACCTTGTCGACCATCTGATGAATGAATGAAGCACACGAGAGCAACACCGATCAAACGTATGTCTGTTGTGGGCTCCTTGACAGTCTGCTCACACCTGTGGTAGTGGCCTGCACACCAGACAAGCAACAAGCAAACGAACGCCCGATGAGTGGCTACCTTCCCCTGTAACCTTCCCCTGATTCATGGCAAACACTTCTACAGGCGACAGCAGCTGCTGAACCCCGCGGCGCATCCATCACGTCACCCAGCTGCACCATGGTAAGTATGTAGCAAGACGACACAAACACACAAACACCCTCTTCTCTTACCATAGTGGCTCTGGCAGCCTTAAGGCTTCGACAGGCTCTGAAACGCCCTTTTTTGTCATTGCAGTCGCGCCTTGCGGTCCTGTCCGGAGATGATGGGGCCTTGTGAGTGGGGATGCTGATCACTGCCGCATCGCGGGCGGACTGATTGCGGTGCATCCAGCTGCAGCTGCTTCATGGCCAGGGGCTCGATAGAGGCGCTCGTGTGAGGAGTTCTTCCCTGGAGATCCACTCAAACCCCAACCCTAACCCTTGAGTTGAGTTCTGCAGCAATTGGGAATCGGCTGGCTTTCAACCATGGCATGAAGTTGATCGGCCCTGCAGGAGCGTAGAGAGGGCGAAATGGGCAACAACCACACTGCGGACCGCCATGGTGCCGTTATCGACGAACACACGCTGGACTTCCTCCACAAAGCCGACAGAGATGCCCTCCACACGTATGCAGACCACACAGAAATGACATGAGGGAGGGGGAGCGGCAGTGAACAGGTGTGTGTGTCTGTGTGATGTGTGCTTGTGTATGTGTGCAGCCGGTCGGAGGTCGGCAGCCTCAGAGCCACGGCCCGTTTCCTCTGGGAAGTCGACTTCTCGGCCGCCGTCCTGAGCAACCGACTCAGTCGCTGCCTGGCGGCCAAGGGGCTGCACGCCATCATCGCATTCGACGCTCAGCTGGACCGCCCTCTGCTGCTGAAGGCCATCTGGCTGGTGGACACGCAGCAGTGGACCGAGGTGGCCAATGCGCTGCAGTTGGCGAGGCAGCGCGGCTTCTGCCAGCTGCCCATCACACTGGCTGTGGCCGACATGCAGCGTCACGATAGCAAACAGGTGGGCAGATGAGCGTGGGGC